AGGAGTAGGCAACCTTGGTTCTTTTATGACTCATGGACTTCAACTCCCAGAATTCCTGAGCCAGCACGGCTCAGCTTGGAAACTTCTCCCTTTCCCCTCAGCATGGCTGGCTCAGGAATTCTGGGAGTTGAAGTCCACGAGTCTTAAAAGAGCCAAGGTTGCCTACCCCTGCTTTAGCTGAACCCCAGGTAAGCACCTACAGCAGCTGCCACTCCCGTGTTCCACGTTTGGTCCAGGATAGGTGTACAAGCTGGATCACAGTCACACCAAACAGCTTTTTAAGCATCTTCCATCTTTCAAGTCTTTGGTGATCAAAGCCCCTTTGTGTTAATGGAGCCAACGCCAGCAAAGAAAAGATTTAACGAGTTGATGTAACCATTAGCTCGGTTGAGCTTGCTCACTCTATTCTATTCTGTTCTTCTATACTATATTTCTATTCTCTTTTTTCTCTTGTTCTCTTCTCTTTTCTGTTTCCAGAAATGTCCTGCTCCAGTGGGGGTTGGACTAGAAGACCTCCGTGGTCCCCTTCCTACCGTATTGTTCTATAATCGAGGTTCTAAAAGGCCTAGTTGGCAGAAACCCTACACAAGGAACCTCATTAAGTTAAACACCCTTCTTAAGTTTGCCTTCGGGAGGAATAGAAGGAGGACAGAGGGAAGCTAGAGAGCAGAACATTTTTTAAAAAATCTGTTTACTCGCTTGCTGAAGACACCTTGTTTTCTTCTTTCCAAAGGCGTCTCTCGTGGCACCTAGCCGAGACCTTACTCCACATGGTACAGGTGTTTTTAGGCTACCTGGTGATGCTGGCCGTCATGACTTACAACACGTGGATTTTCCTGGGCGTGATTGCTGGTTCAGCCATCGGATACTTCGTGGCGTATCCGCTGCTGTGCCTCAGATAGCAGCGTGGAAGCTTCTTGGAGAGAACGCTCAAGACTGCGAATCATTCCGGATTTTGCAACTGGAACGGCTTCTATTGCGACAATTCCTCTCCACGAGGATCTCTTGGAGCTTGATTTGATCCCTCGTCTCGGCGGACAGGACATTGTCCAACTTCTAATCCTCTCAAGTAGCAATTGTGCTTCCAATGTCAAGCCATTTTCTTTCCTAAGTGCCTTAAAACTGACTTTTCTCCTTGCCCAGAAAGTTAATTTGAAGGAGAGGGCCCTTATCTCCACCTAAGAGTACAGTATGATTGTCGCCGAGGTTGCCTTCAAAGCCTGTGTTTGGGATGGGGTAGCTCTGACCAAATTATCTTCGGTCCCTCTTAAACCTCCTCAGCGTACTTTCTAACTTGCTTGGAAAATAAAGCGGCCAGTGGAAATGTAGAAAGGCAGGACGGAGGGGCAAATGTTGGTCCCCTAACCTTGAAGGAAGTGATGGGGATAAGCATCCTATTATCTACAGCAGGGGTCCCCAACCCCCGGGCCGTGGACTGGTACCGGGCTGTGGCATGCCAGCAACCGGTCCACACAAACAAGCAAAGCTCCATCCGTGGGATGCAGACAGCACACAAAACCACGCACCCTCCGGTCCGTGGAAAAACCTCTCTCCACGGAACCGGTCCCTGGTGCCCAAAAGTTTGGGGACCTCTGATCTAGAGTACAATGAGCTTTGCAAGCTTTCAAAGCACACTTGGAAGAATTCGTTCGCCAACACCACAGATCTGCAGCACTTTAACAGATCCGGTCTGTTTCTATTCTCAGTGCTTATTCTGTTTGTTTGTTTTTTTACTTCACTTCTCCCAGATGTTTTCATTAAGCCAACCTGCTGTCAAAACAACGGGCAGTCAGATTCTTTACCAAAGGACCCTTTTTCACAGGCTGGGTCACTAACCCAAGGAACTCAAGGCCGAGAAAGAAGAGTCGCGATCACTATATAGGTGTTTTAAAATAATGATTTAGAGGTGGGAAGAGAAGGAGACAAATTCTTAGCGTGTTCAGTCATGAAGTTGCGGTTTCCTCCGTTTCATACTTGCATGTCCAAAAAAGAGAGTTAAGGTGTCACACATCTGGACAATATCAATAAGGACTAACACAATAGTCTTGAGGTAAAATTACCAGAATGTCCTACTCAAGTTAGAAAGCGATAGAACTGAGTCCTCTCCAAGCATTTGCCCTAAATCTTTGGAATTGCCATCTCTAATAATCAGTATAAATAGGGCCTGGATGGAAATGGCACGGATGGGCCATTTTGAACAGCCATTTGTCCGGAACAGTATAGGTTCTCCTGTTTGAGCAGGGGGTTGGACTAGAAGACCTCCAAGGTCCCTTCCAACTCTGTTATTCTCTGATTCTGTAAGGGTCTCCTGTTTGAGCAGGGGGGTTGGACTAGAAGACCTCCAAGGTCCCTTCCAACTCTGTTATTCTCTGATTCTGTAAGGGTCTCCTGTTTGAGCAGGGGGTTGGACTAGAAGACCTCCAAGGTCCCTTCCGACTGTTATTTTGCATTCAGAGATGAACAATTTAACAGGCCAGCAGGCAAAGGTCTGACGTCTTAATTTACTTGCGTAGTTTTAAGTAAGTTACCTTCACAGATCTCCCTGCAATTCTCTGTGTTTAATTGATTGGCACCAGTTATAAAAGTGTTGAGCATTCCTTTCTGGGGAGTGAAACATTCCAAGGAATTCCAGACTGTTTCCTTTTGCTTCTAGACCACACTTATTTTGGAGAGGCTGAAAAATCACATCCCAAAAACAAAACAAAACATTAAGTTGTTCCCGAATCGTATACTGTGGAAGAGTCTCTTGCAATGGAATTTTGCACATCATTAGCACCTACTTAAATCCATGTTAAAACCGAAGCAATGTTGAAATGTATTTTTTTTAAAAATCCAATAAATGTATTACTAATTATCTACGAATACTTTCTCAATGAGTAGCTTAATCGTTTTAACTTAGAGGGGAGTAGGTTATCATGTCTTCGTGTATGTGTGTCTAATTGCGCGACAACTTTTTCCCGTGCAGTTTAATTTCCCTGTCTGGCAAGGCTAGGCAAACTTGATAAAACTGGTGGACACAGTCAGAATAGCATTCTCCACCTCAAGGCTGAAAACTCCGTCTCTCTTGAAAAATGAATGAGGAGCCGGTCCTGCCCCCCAAATTAGGCCATGCGTTTTTGTAAACTTTTGTAAAAGAGGAATCCCACCAGTTGGAGAGAACACAGAGAGAGCAAAACCGCAGTCTTTTAGCCAAATGTTATTTATAAAAGAGGAGATGGGCTGAACTAGCATTAAATAAAGCTGATTTTTTTTTATTAATATATATAAGCACATTCTCTTAAACATTTGGTATAAGATTTGCAATATATACTATCTTCGATGAGAGAGAGAGAGAGACGGGATGAAAATAAGCTTTGGTTCCTAACCAGAAGGCATTAAAAGAGGGCAAAATGTAGAATCCGAGTGAGCGATATCCCTTCTCTTTCTCACTCTCCACAATCATTTCAAAGAGGAATGACTACAAATATTTAAAAAAAAAACAGGCAGGGTGAAATTGGAACGTTACAGCAGCAAATCGGGATGAGGTGGGCAGTGTTGAGACGTTTGGATCACGGGCGATTTCCCGAGGAGTCTTCCTATTTCTGGATCTGCTGAAGATCATCTGCCTGCGTTTGAAAAGGGCTCCCTTCCTCAATTGGCACCAGAGTTTCCTAGAAGTTGAATTCCAATCATTTTTAATTTTTTTTTTTTTTTTGAGATTATGGAAGCCCCTTCCAAAAGAGCAATCTTCTGCCAGCAGATCCGGACTGACTCAGGGCAAAGCATGTGATGAGGCACCCATGTTTTGTACTTCCCATCCATGAAAACAGAGGAGGAGGAGGAGGAGGAGGAGGAGGAGGAGGAGGAGGAGAAAAATCAACAAGGAGAGAGGTTATTTTCCATCTTATGGGGGTGAAGGCCCTGAGGAAATTGCTTCTTGTAGGCCCGTTCATCAATCGGTCCAGTCAACGTGGAGATTCTTAAGGCAGAAACCTTCATCGCTAACTTGGAAGGGGACTGTGGATTTTCCCAGAAGACAGAAGAAGCTACCCTTCACTATTAGTAGTGTAGAGAAGAGTTGAACTATACCAACATCTCCTCCAGAACAGAAACCATCCAGATGTTGCCCAGGTTCCTGGCTCACTACGACTTAGGCGTTGACGGAAGTTCTCAAGACAGAACTTGAAGTTGGACAAGAATAAAACTTGGTCCTTCAAGGAGGTGAAAAACCAAAAGCCCAACCATATTCGCTGAAGTCCTCCAGTGATGGATGAGGAGATGGATGAGTAGTAGGGGTGTGTCTATGTGTATAAATGTGGATTAGAATTGGTATTTTGTAAATCCATTGCTAGAGTCTGAAAGCTCAGGGTAGCTTCCAACTTTCAGTCCACGTCACAGGTTCAGGAAGAAGAGAGGGAAATACACTCTTGTTTATAAAGGCAGGATGGGATTCTCCTGAATCCCTACCTTTTATTTCACTTTTGCCCATGTCACGCAAGCAACAGGGACCCCTAAATATATAGGGAACAAGTTCCTATTGAAAGGACGCCGGTGACCTCACATCATCCCTGCACGAACACAACTGAATTGCTAAACGTAACTTTCCAGAAACAGCCGAAGCTAAAAGAAATACCGTTTTCCCTTTTGTGTCCCCCCAAAAATTGTTAACTGCCACCACACCAAGTGCATTTAAAAAAAAAAAATTGCAACCTCAATGACTTCCCACTAGGCTGAAGACTCGCGCACATAGGATCTCTCTTTATAGGATCTCTGCTGGTTGCTTCTAAGATTATTCTGCTGCTTTGCTTCCCTGGGAAGAGAGGGGAAATACACAGAAAAAGAAACATTCACTCAGCAGAGAACCTGTGCAGGTAAACCAAGGATACCTGAGCAGGCCAAGATGACGAAACTCATGAACGATCCTACATTAGCATGGCATATGCTGGTTATTTGTTTTCATGCTGCATCCTTGGCTGACCGGTTAAGACGTAAGACATCTCAGCCAGCGGTCCCCACTGAAATAATTTAAATTCCTGTATTAGTCTCGTCTTATCTGTCAACTTTTGCTGGTCTGTTCCAACACCAGCAAGCCTTCAACAGCACACACCACTTTCTCTAACCCACATCCACGTGTTTCTAAAAGTCTACTTACTTTCTCCTAGAACTAGGGCTTTCCATCTCTGCATAACTTTGGACCGAGATGGGTGCAGGGAGGGGAAGAACGCAATTTGACCACCTCCCACATCAGTTCTAGGATGGTTTGCTAAAATCATCTGGAATAGGAGGGCCCAGGAAAAGAAGGAGTTAAGAGAGAACCGTTCCTAATCGTGAACACTGGTGAGGAGAAGAAATGACCACCACCCCGCCCCAAACACGAGAAAGAGCCTTCTACCATCCATGGTTAGAAGAAGGCAAAGGGATGAAACGTCAAAACCAAGTTACGGGTCAAAAAGTCAAATTAGTACCAGTCTGGATCAAGATGGGGAACACACAATGGCTTCTCTCTGTTCCAACCCTCCAGGCATTTGTTAGCATCTAAGGTGAAGTCCCTTCTCCATAACACCCAATCCAACCACACAACTTTGAGTCAGGAGAACTAGTGTGTGTGCATGTTTGTGGGAAACACTAGAAAAGGCTAGAAAAAAATCACCTTGGACCCAAGAGATGTAGATTGTGCATTCTGGGGTTCCTCCCTGGCATTTCCTTCCCACCCCCTCCTCCAATGGCAGAACTTCTCCAGAAGAATCAATGTGCATCTACAGCTGAAGATGGTCCTACACCGGCCTTGGATCAACTTGCTTTTGTCCTTCTCATCCCACAGGGTCCCCAGTTCGTCAGTGTTTATCTGGCCATGAGGAATCCTCTTCCAAGGGGGAGGCTGATCTAGAACTGAGTCTGCACCCCTTCGCTTTCATCTGTGACCTTGTGGCTGTTCTCCACTGGGACGTCTGCTTCTACCTTGCTGGCTTGAGCAGAGACCTGTTCCTCGCCTGTCTCTTTATTGGCGGGTTCCGGGCATTCTGCTTGGACTCCTCCATCTGGAGCTGGGGGTTGTGTGGGGGCAACTGGAGAAGGGGCTGGGGCTTCCTGTTTCTCTCTATGGAGCTCTGTGGAGGATTCTGTGGGACAGGCATCTTCTGCTTGAGAGGTCTCCTTCTCCTCCTTCTTGGGCTCCGGGGTTCCTCTGCTCTCTTGCGTAATAGTACCGTTGTGTAACTGTTCCTCAGCCTTATTGTCATCCGGAATTGGGATCTCCACCTCCTTCACCAGCAACGTACGGAGCTCCTTCACAGGCTCAGAGGAATCCTGTGTCTGAGGACTAGGACAGCGGTCGGACTTCTCTGGTTCTGAGCCATCTGGAGATCTTTCCAAAGAGCCAACTTCACAGGGCAGAGTGCTTTCATCCACGTGGATCATGGAGACAACCTGCTTGGCCCGGTGTTGCTTCTCGTCCAACGGGTCTACATCTGATTCGCCACCATACTCCTCTCCCCAGTTGATGGGCGTCCCCTCATCAAGCAAATGTATGTTGGGGTCGCTGTTATGCATCACAATGCTGTCGCGGTACAGGTTGTGCTTCCTCTGGACGGCCGCCTCTTTCACAGCTGAAATAGGCATGAAAGGAAAAGAAACAAGGTGTTGAAAGGCAATTCTCCCAACTCAGGTAAGGCTACCAGTTCTCCATTTTTTTTAAAAAAACACCACCACCAGAAAATAATGCATTAACCCTATAAGAACACACTATTGCCTAAATCTTAAATGTTTTAATGATAGCAGTTGACAATGGGACAAATGCAGATGGAAACTTCTATATCCTAAACTAAATAATAGCTAGGCAATATTTTCCAAGCCAGTGTTCCACAAAACTATGGGATTCTTCCATTATATCCAGCAAACCATGTTGGTTAGGGGAATTTCATCCATCCATCATCCATCCATCCATCCCTCCATCCACCTACCCACCCATCCATCCACCCAACTCATCCATCCATCCATCATCCCTCCCTCTATCCATCCACCCACCCACCCACCCAACTCATCCATCCCTCTATCCATTCATCATCCACCCATCATCCACCCATCTATCCATCCATCCACCCACTCACCCATCCATCCCTCCATCCATCCACTCATCCGCCCACTCATCCATCCATCTATCCACTCACCCACTCATCCACCCACCCATCCATCCAGTTTAGAATAATAGGAATCAGGGTAACATCTCTGAAAGCCTTGAGGTTGGAGAGACGGTTTACAAAGGTGTCCCTCCACGACAGTAGGAGGTGCAAACAGCATCTTTCCCTAACTGGTTCCAATCCACTACAATCCTACTCAATTAGAACCGAACCAAAGTCTCTTACCCATCATGATGTCTTTCATCACAGACTGCAGGACCACCTCTTCATATGTGTTTTCCACCAGAATGAAGCGGGCAAAGTCCTCAAAAATCAGCTCCTGGAATCTTGAGAGGTCCTAATGAGACAAAAGCAGGCCATTGAGAAGTTACCGTAGGCATAAGGCCCACAGGGATACAGTGTTTAGGATCTGCTCTTAGAAGAGAAGAGGAGTCAAATCTTTGGCCCACATTACTTTGCGTGGCAACTCTTCTGCTCTCCACAACAAATTTGGAGAGCAGCTCAAGGTGTCCTTGAGCTAGGAGAAACAACTATTTAGAAACAGCAGGTGTTGATCAGGGACACTCTTCTTCCCTGGAGCCAACATGGGCCATGAAGTCTTTGTTGGAAATGAAATAAATGTTCAGCACTGGGACTTTGTTTGAAGCAAGTCAGTCTGCCGTGTCATTTTATTTTAATTAGAAGCATCTCCTCTCTCTTTTTAAAGACAGATCAAATGAAAATAAGAAGCCCAGAAGGCAGATTTCATGGGTAGGTTAGCATCCATAGGAATCCAGGAGCCTTTTGAAATAAGAATGGATTATATACTACCTCTTGGGTTAGATATTAGATATCTGCATCTTTTGTGGTAAACACAAACCAGTGACAGAGCGGTGGCCACTGATAGCCTTTGTAGCTCAGAGTTCAACTCGGAGGTCTTTGATGCCCTCTGAGTTTGATTGTTTTCTTGTAGACATTTCATTACCCAACTAGGTACCCTCATCAGTGTTAGTGTGACTTGCTCCCTTGCTTATTATATCCAGTACCTCTGAGCTTGGTTATTTTCTTGCAAACCTTTCATTACCCCACTAGGTAACATCAACAGTGTTGATGCATAGAAACAGAGAGCAAATCCTGCTAGCACTGATGATGTTACCTAGCTGGGTCGTGAAGCGTCTGCAAGAAAACAACCAAGCTCAGAGAGCATCAAGGACTCCACAGTCCTCCACCACCACCACCTCCTCCTCCTCCTCACATACCCCAGTCCTTTCAATCACTGATGAGGTTACCTAGCTGGGGCACGAAATGTCAGAGAGCATCAAGGACCTCACAAAGGAACATACTGTTTAATCAGCATCCGTGACTTCCTATTAGTGGAAGCTAAGAGAGGCAGCGACGACGTCACCGTTCAATCTTATTTATTTATTTATTTATTTATATTTAAATTTATATGCCGCCCTTCTCCCCATGGGACTCAGGGCGGCTCACAGCATATTAAAACATTGTACAAAAAATTTTTTCCCCTGCTAAAAACCAATTAAAATCCAAATATTGGTAGCTGTGGCTCTTTAAAATTGTTTAAAAATTGTCCCTATTTAAAACTCTTGTCAACCTTTCAACCCGGAAGCACTTTGGTGCTCCCGATCTGACTGGTACTACTAACAGTAGTAGTGGAAGCTATTTTATCTTCCCTACAAAAAAAGCACTTTGGAGACAACTAATGACCTGGAAGGCTGAGAATCACCCTAGACCAGTGGTGGCAAACCTATGGCACACGTGCCATAGGCGGCACTCAGAGCCCTCTCTGTGGGCACGTGTGCCATGCCCCGGAGATGGCAACCGTCCCTCTTCAACCAGCCGCCCGCTAACTCACCGAGGTCCCACATGGCCGGATGCATCCCAGCACCCATGTGCTCGCTGGCCTCTGTGTGCAGGGGCCGATGGTGTCAGGCAGCAGCTGGCCCCTGCCTCACCTTGCCCTGTGACAATAGCACCCCTGCCTTGCCTCGCCTCACCCCGTAGGACGAGCTTCCTGCCCACCGCCCCACCTGCCAGAGACCCCCTGGATCTCCCCCAACCCTGCCCGGCCCCCACAGGCATCCCTCCCCACGAGCAACATCGAGGAGATCACGCCCACTTTGGCCACATCCACCCAGTCTGCCATGACCACCACAGCCACGCCCACCTGGCACCCGGCGATAAATAAGTGGGTTTTGGGTTGCAGTTTCGGCACTCGGCCTCTAAAAGGTTCGCCATCACTGCCCTAGACCTTCTTCCTTCCTGCATTTTTTGCCTTTACTTCTCCTTTAAAGTATGCATTGTGGGAGCAGCCTCAGTGGACCTCTTTTGTTTACCACGATGGGAGAGGTTGTGAACCCCCAAATAGAACCTCGAAGAGGCCAATCTTACCCCTTTGCAAGTAGGAGCCAGCTTCTTCAGCAGGAAAGGGACAGTGACTTGCAACAGGGCCTCCCTGAAAAATTTCTTCCTCACCGTGCTGCTGTCGTAATCGTATTTCTGGGGACAAAGAAGATTTAGAATCGTGGAAGCTTCGCTAATAAAATAGCTGCCCCTCTTTCCAGGGTTTTCTCGACCCGTCACTTGCTGAATGCATAGGATTTAGAGCCGGGTGGCGCAGTGGTTAGAAGGCAGTACTGCAGGCTAATTCTGCTGACTGCCGGCTGCCAGCAGTCCGCAGTTCGACTCTCACTGGCTCGAGGCTGACTCAGCCTTCCCTCCTTCCGAGGTCAGTAAAATGAGGACCCAGATTGTTGGGGGTCAAGATGCTGACCTCTGTAAACCGCTTAGAGAGGGCTGTAAAGCACCGTGAAGCGGCATATAAGTCAAAATGCTGCCGCTATTTTGTCCCAGAGAAGAATCTTTGGGGTTCTGTTGCCCTTCAAGCCTTCATAAGCATTTGGATGAAAAGCAAGAAACAATAACAACAGAATAAAGGTCATGTGGGAAGTGGAACAATACAAGAGATGGTCAGGGAAGGATGTTACCTGTTTGCACTCAAAAACAAAAGATTAGACAGATTATCTAAGGTGATGATGCCAAAGCTTTGGATGTAGTGACCTTTCAGAAATTGCTAACCAAACTATGCATCATTCATTATAAATATGAGTAAAGGGTGATATTATTATATACCTGGCCAATAGACTGCCAACTGAATTTACTTTTAATCTCCTTTAAGCCAAATCAAGATTAGCTTTCGTCTCAGGACCTGATTTCCAAATGAAGATGGTGCTTCATTCGGGGTCTACTTCTCCCAATAATAATAATTATTATTATTGGAAGGGACCTTGGGGGTCATCTAGTCCAACTCCCTGCTCAGGCAGGAAACCCTATACCATTTCAGACAAATGGCTGTCCAGTCTCTTCTTAAAAACTTCCATATTCACATCTTCTGGAAGCAGCCTGTTCCACTAATTAATTGCTCTGACTGTCAGGAAGTTTCTTCTTAGTTCTAGATTGCTTCTCTCCTTGATGAGTTTCCATCCATTGCTTCTTGTCCTGCCTTCAGGCACTTTGGAGAATAGCTTGACTCCCTCTTCTTTGGGGCAGCCCCTGAGATATTGGAACCAACCAACTCAACCCAACCCAACCCAACCCAACCCATTCCAACCCAACTCAATTTAACTCAACTCAACCCATTCCAACCCAAGCCAACTCAACTCAACTCAACCCCAAAGATGGGGCGATAACCTTACCTTGAGCACCCGTTCCAGGATGCGCTGAATGGTCTTACAGAGTTCATCTTTGCTCAACGACTTCCCCAGCTCCTGATGTAGAAGAGTCTCAAAAGTGTAGACGGTGTCATCCATTTGCTATAATGTCAAACAAGGAAGAGATGTAAAAAAGAAGAAACAACAGCTGTTTAGCATAGAATGGGTGTGTATGGGGGTAGAAGATAGGGGATTATTACATAAATGCTGTTACTTAGTTATTTGCATCAGATAGTTGGGACTTAAGCATATAATAATAGGATTTGCCCGATGACATTATTTTGGGTTTTCTGCGGACGTCACTTTCTGTTGACTAAAGCCAATATGCTCAGAAGATGGGGAATAATTACAGAGATGCCTCCAGATCAGAGACGGGAAAACCTGTCCTTTAAAAAATAATAATCAAGAGGCTGAAATAGAAATTCTATGAAAAAAGATTAAAGGCTCTTTAATGTTTGAGCAAAAGGTAAAGAGGGATCCACACCCAGAGGCCCATGAAAACATGCATGGCACATGCAGAGAAAAAATATTTTTCTTCCCCTGTCATGTTCAGACACAAAGCTTTCCTGGTCACTAGAGGGCTCCAGTTGTCTTACAAGCTGGGAAGTGCCCAGCCCACCTCTGGTTAACACTGA